AGGATAGGGGAAGGGACTGGAGATAAGTTAAGATAAATAGGATATAATTCTTAACAGCACACACAAAGTAACATAAATCAAGCCCTTACAGAAAATCAAAAGTAAAAACCTAAAGAGAATCAAAAATCAAGAGCAGCAGGGCATAACAGTTGCTAACAGTTTGATGACAAACATTGACTTCAGTTTCCTTCACTTTGTTCCTCGGTTGTTTTGTTCTGTGTTTTCTGCTTTCAAGACATTGATTTAAGTTTTCTGTCTGGACGTTTTAATTTCCTCCTTGGTCAACATGCCTTTAACCATCTCACCATGTTGTTTCTGACTTTGTCCAGATTATGGACACAGCTGACTGTGAAAGTTTGCCAATATTCTCCTTTTTTTCACCTGACATCTCTTGTGTTGGTGCCAAGGTTCTAACCAGGGAATGTAATCTGATCCAGGTTAGTTTTAGGAATATACATTTCCAAGTGATTCCATATTTTTTCCCTCTGCTTGAGCTAAAAAAGTGACGATACTGACTACCACAAGTGTTCTTGATTTCTTATAGTGTTTCTTAAAGCCAGAAAGTTGTCACTTAGAATGACTAGTTTCGTGTCATCCTGTGATCTGTTAATTGTTTTCTACAAAATGAAGAAACTGAATGAAACTCCAGAGAGTCTTCCATAACTTTTGCCTGTTTAGAAACCCAACCAGCCTTTAATTCCAACTGTGAGCTAAAGTTAATTGCTCATTCCCATCAGCCCTTTTGAAACCAAAACTCCTCATCTCTCTCCTTAGAAACATCTCTTCCCTGAGCTGCTGCAGGATCAGTCCCAATAACATGAGATTTGTAGGCGTTTTAAATAAATTAACAATAAATTAGACGATTCTGCAGCATAACAAAGCATTTTTAGGCACATGGTTGATGGTTTGCATGTTTAATGGATTAATAGTGCTTCTGTGGATCCCCAACCTTGATACTGCAGAAGTTTCACCAATGCAGATACCCCATTTGTTTAGACTGGACTTCTTTTCTTTTCTTTTTTATAATTTTACACAGTTTTTAGCTAAACTAAAACTTTCTTAACAGGGATATACAGTTATGACTTTGTAACTGAATATACTACATTAAAAGGAGGAAACCTTTTTCCCCTTGCCAGTGCAGATTCTCAATCATCAGCATCATTGCAACTACAACAGGCTTATTAAAAGCATCGGGCCTCTGGTTCAGGTTTTGTAAAAAGTTTTGACACCTGTCTGAGAGTCACTTCTAGAAGATCTCAGCCGAGCAGCCTGGAGCTTTGGAGCTGCTGTTTTTGACCAAATGGAGGCCCATCAGTGCTGGAGCGTTCCAAGTAGGATGCAAATCAACACCCCTCTCATGGGTCATTAGAGTCTATTGTTTGGTGTGAGTTGTTCTCTTGGTCATCTGAATGCTAATGAAGCTGCTTTTGCAAATTCTTTGACATGAGTTTCAATGCAGGGATTCAGATACTGAGAGACTGAAACCTTTTTTAAGAGATTACATCAGACTAAATGTTTCTTGGGGTAATTTTATGGATATCTTCCTCCTAACTGCTCATCAAGGGTTTTAAATGAATAAGCACTATCCCAAAATGGCGTTATTGCCCATAATATGCTTGCAGAATAATCAAAAACAATTATTTACAATTACATTGTCACCAAAAAATTCCACAAAAAAAGTCTTGACCATTTCAGCTCTAAGAAGCATTTAAATCCAAAACAGCGTTGTTAAAATGTCAAGATAAAGATTAATAATCGCTTGTTCGTTGTAGAGCCCTTGTCTTGTGAATTCCAAAACGAACTATGACTGAAATATAGATTGATCGATGTTTTCATTACACATCAATGTGACTGGATTGGTAATCATTTTATCGGTGCAATTTTAAGCCTCGACGTTTGACCATAGTTTGCTGGGATTTTGGCCCATTCCTCCCGCCGGACTGAGACCCTGGCTTTGTGATGGCCACTCTAGAACCTTAGCCTTGGTGCCCTAATTATGGTAATATGTTTAATTATTTTCTTTCTCTTTAAAAGGCCAATTTGTGAGTAAAGTTGCTGATGTCTCGAGGCAACAGTATTTCCCTATCGTGTAACTAAGACCTTGCATGAAGTTGCTTTTATTATTGCTTCTTCTTCTTCAATGAGTGTTTTTTAGCCTATTTTTTCAGCTTTTATTGTCATTACACTGTAACAAGTACAGCACAATGAAATTAACTTTCTGCATTTAACCCATCCCCTTAGGGAGCAGTGGGCTGCCATTATGCGGCGCCTGGGTAGCAGTGTGGGGGTTAAGGTTCTTGATCAGGGAGCCAGAGCTGCTGTCTCTGGGAGTGGGGCTTGAAGGCAAGGCAAGGCAAGGCAAATTTATTTGTATAGCACAATTCAGTACAAAGACAATGCAAAGTGCTTTACATGATTAAAATACAGGAAGATAAAACATTGAATCAAAGCAACCTCAGAACTCAGAACCTCGGGATTCCAAGCACAATGCCCTAACCACTAGGCCCCCACTCCCCTTGGTTGGAATTGGCATGAAGGGTCTTGCCTAAGTACCCACACTGGCAGATCATTCCCCCCAGCTGGGATATGAACCCAGGCTTCCTGTTTGGTAACCACTTGGTATGTCAATTTTCACCTTCAACCAGCATTCACCTTCACCAGGTACTTTGCAGCCATTCTAAAATTGGTTTCGTGCCAAAACACAGAACCTGTCTCCTTCTTGACTGTTTTGATGGTTATCACCATACTTATGAACCTCATTCTTATATTGTTTGAATAGATAAATGTGGTCTTCAGGTATCTGGAAATTGTACCCGACTGGTGGATCCTCCAATGATGTTACACAAGGTAGCAGCATGTTGGAGATGTTGCAAAAAATACATAAATGAATCCCTAATTACTAATTAATTGTGTTGATCAATCTGATTGAAATAAAGCAGGAAACTAAAGAAAATCTATTATAAATAGTTAATCAAACTCTTTGGCTTCTGGTGCATTATGGACTCTAAATCATTAAAACCCATGCTTGCTCAAAGGCCTCAATGATTACTCTTCCAAAATGTGAGAAAACACGCTGACAGAGCCCTTTTATTTCTACCTTTTGGTTCGGTTAAACAAACCTCTGCTTGAAGATAACAGCAAAGATTACTTTTAAAAGGAGATGTTTTGTTAAAGCTTTTTCAGCACAAAAATCCATTGACCGGCTCAGAGTTTATTCACCAGCAGAGCAAGTTTTATGGAAGAGGTGGTGTGACGAAACATCAAAATCATTACAACAGAGAGCTGGTTTGCAGGATGAGTTCTAACCACCTTGGGTCTGAGCAGGTATTTGGACCGGTTACAATCATAAGCTTTAGTGTATTTCAAGATGATTAAATGTGGTTAAAAAAGCATGAAATTGTGCATAACTAAGAAGATGATATGGTTCTATTTTTATTATTTATGCTGCCACAAGCGTAACGCTTATAGAGAATAAACTGTTTGATCAAACAAGAGGGCTTCTATAAAGAAGGCGTTTTTAGGCCTTGGCAAAATTCTAATATATGCTTTACACCATGCAGAAGAGTACAAATAGGTGAAAAATAGGCCTTTTTTCAATATTTAATTATTGTGATATTACATTTTGTTTGTCTTTCCATTCTCTCTTTTTCCAAATTCAAACAAATAAGGAAAACAGACAAACTTATCAAACATTTCAATGAACAAAAACTAAATAAGACAAGAAATCGTATCGTTCTCGTCCATTTTTCATAATTCAGTAGATTTTTTTTCTCACACTAATCCTGATCTGGAAAAAAGTAAAACCAAATTCCAAATTACTTTTTAGGGGGTAAACATTAAGATTGTCCTTTTAAATTTCCCCACTGTAAGACAATAAATTGATTTTTTCTATCCTATTCTAAAATCTGAAATAACTTAAATTTCCTCTTCACAGTTTTGTGTCGACATATCCCATAAAATCCAACAATAGATGTAATAAGACAAAAAACAGAGAAAGTTTAGTGAGGTCATGTGGAATCCTTCCAGAACCTTTCAGAAACTAAATGTGATGGAAAAGCTGCCTTCCTCTTCTGTCCCTACAGAAGAGGACTTAGTGGAGGTGATCCAGAGGGAATTCTTTACTTTCTTTACTATCAGGAAGTTTGTAGTTAAAAGCCTTCAGCTGATCCAAAATACTGCAATCAGAGTTCTGATTAAACTTTTACGGAGAGATAATTTCTCCTATCCTAGCTTCTCTTCATTCGCTTCCTGTTAAATCCAGAATGAATACTTGTGGTTGCCAGAATGGTTTGGGAGGTAGATCTTTTAGTTATCAGGGTCCTTTCCTGTGGAATCATCTACTAGTCTATAAGGCAGACACTAGGTCATGTGATCTACCTCATTAGGAAGAGCTATACAGACATGTTGCTGCCCATCCATCCATCCATCCATCCATCCATCCATCCATCCATCCATCCATCCATCCAACCATCCATCCATCCATCCATCCATCCATCCATCCAGGTTAGACCTGTACACAACAAACCAGAGCAACTCTCCCTCTCGCACCATCTGGACCAACCAATGGTCTCTCTCTCTTCCCTCTGGGTCAGACTGGGGGGAATCACAAGCAGGAATGGATCACCTCACCTGGCTTTTTCCTTCTCCTGCCTCTGACTCTTCTGTCTTCATCGTTTCCTTCTATTTCATCATTACAGTGTGTTTAAAAAAAGAATTCTCCATCATTGTCTATTTCACCTGATCTTCATTGTTGGATGCTATCTTTTTTAAATTCATCTAAAAAATAGTATTCCTTTATTCAGTAGTGTTAATTTATTGAGCAAATGTCTTGCTCAACATTTGCATGCCAGTTGGCAATCACCAGCAACATCTTCCTCTTTTTTTAAGCTTTCACATATTTTTATTTCCAGAATTTATTATCAGAACTCTCCTATTTTGTTTTTAATATCGCCAAAACTAACTTGTACCTGTCTCCCTGATTAACTGATTTATACTCTCACCTCTGTGATGGTGCAGTATGCCGCCTGTGGGGACCAGACGCGCCTCTTGTAGAAGTAGTTTAGGGCGATGAAGAGCGCGGAGCCCAGCGCAGCCACGGCGGCGGTCAGGGCGATGGAGATGTGCCGGAGGAGAACCATGTGGCCGAGAAGCAGAGACTGGAGTCTGCTCCTGGAGCGCTTCCCAAGCCTTCAGGTTCCTGCAGTGCCGCCGCTGCACGCGCCGCATGTGACCGCGCTCTCTGCTTGTTTTTGTTTCGAGGAGCGCTTTAAGGAATATGGAAAGATGGTGCGTTCACGTGCTGCTCGGACACAGAAGCTTTAAGAGTCGGAGCGAATAAACGCATAATAAACTAAATTTGGCTGGTCGAACCTTCTTATAGTCCTTATAAAAATGTTTTCAACCCTTACTCAAGCTTTACACTTTTTTTTTTTTTACTTTGCCAATTTTTTTTCTGTTTAGATCTGGCTTACTTTTTCTGACTAATTTCAAATACCTTTTGAATAGGACAACCTTTAAGCAGGCACTAAACATGCTTTATCATTATGACTACGTTTATGTAGTTTCTTTATTTGTCAGATGTGATTTTTCCAAATCCAAAATGTTGTGTTTTTTATTAGCTCTATGTATAAAAATCCTAAGGTAAACACCTGTCTTAATCTACATATTGTTGGTCACTGTTAATTGAGTTATGAGAATAAATGAACTGTTCAACAGTGTTCGAATTCATTAAATAAGGCTAGACATTAACTTAAATGAATGGACATTAAAGCATACAAAAAACAATGTAATAAATGTTATTCGTTTTATTAAACACATTTCCCCCTACCATTAGTCAAAAAAGGACCAGATTGAGACTTACCGGTATTTCTGCTCCCTCTGTTCAAATTCAATTCTATTCAGTTTATTTATATAGCACCAATTCACAACACATGTCATATCAAGGCACTTTACAGTTCACCAGATCATACAGTCAAATTGATTCAGAGTTTTCTATCTAAGGAAAACCAGTTCATTGCATCGACTCATTGACTTGAATGCAATGCCTCACACTAAGCATGCTTGTAGCGACAGTGGAGAGGAAAAACTCCCTTTTAACAGGAAGAAACCTCCAGCAGAACCAGGCTCAGTGTGAGCGACCATCTGCTGAGGCCGACTGGATTCAAAGAGACAGAAACAGAGATACAAAAAGCAACTGTAAAAGGCCGCCCCATCCTGGAAACACACAGCCAGGCAGACGAGCTCTGAGGCAGCTCCCATGTCAGAGAATGAAGAGCACATCCAGCCAGTCGCGGTCAGAGAAACAGGACCACACTGGAAAACAGGCCAATCTCCAACATCTATAAACAAGGGTGTTGATGGCAGCAGAACAGCTGATATTTCTCTCCAGGATGGTGTCACAGCCAAACAGGAACAGACGAGGCAAAGCTACTATGAGAAAAAGCAGAGAAAGCATAACATTAGAGATTGAACTAACAGTTTCTGCAGAGTGGAGGAATAGACATAGAATGAAGCAGAATGATGAAATGGGGGTCTCTATGTCCTCCAGAAGTCTAAGCCTATAGCAGCATAACTATAGAGATAGCTCAGGATAACCTGAGCCATTCTAACTATAAGCTTTATCAAAAAAGAAAAATAGTTCATGTCTCAACGAAGCTAACTAGATTTATATCAGGTTATATCCTTACGCTTAATAAACTTTGTCCCATGCCTTCATTGGTTTTAATCTGACCCTCTACCCCAGCTGTAGAAAATCAGCATAATTCTGCCAACTACATGTTTTACTGTGCAAGTGTTGTGTTAGAGGGAATGTTAAGCTTTAACTTTGATAAATGAGTCCCACATAGCCCGGACTGTAATGCATTTATACTCAACCATGCTGTCTTAGCTGCAAGTCACTCACCACTTAGAACAAAAAAAAAGAGAGAGAGAAAAATGAAGAAAAAAAAAAAAAAACAAGAAAAAAAAGCATCACGAGTATGAAAGTTTTGCAAGTTCTGCTTTGCAAATAGCTCATGCTGTATTAGATCTAACTGTGAGTGTAAACATTATCTTGCTATGGAGCCGGGGGTGCGTTTAGGTCTGAACTAGGCCATTGAAACACATGTTTTTAACTAAACAATCTAATTTATAATTACCGTACGTTATAAGCTCATTATTTTGACCCCTTCCCCATAACTAAAGCTTTTGCTGCCTCTGCAGCTTCTGTATCCTTGAAGAAGAAATGCATCCACAGAGCATGATGCTGCCAACACCATGTTTTATATTGTGGATGCGTTGTTCAGGCTTTTTGTTTTTGTTTTGTTTGTTTGGTTTTTCAGGACCAGACAGTTTAATTTGGGTTCTAAATTCAACTTTAAATGAACTTATTCTGCTTTTCATCTGGATTGTTTTTCTTCCTGCTACTCCTTGAATAGTAAAAACATTTGTGTTAAGTAACTATTGGTTGTCCTGCCAACAGATTCTCCCACCTAAGCCATGGGCCTGTTCAGCTCTTCCTCACCATAGACAGACCTTCTTCTCTCATCAGATGCTACACATATATAGGCCTACAGGTATCACAGAAAATTACAGTATCATAAAACAATTCATATTTTTTAAAACTGATTTTAGAAGTTGAAACTAATTTCTACCTGGATTGATTAAAAAACTGAAACTTCCAAGCCCAAGTGCAACTTTCCTACGGGACTTGAATGCATCAAAAGCACCGAGTTATCAATAAAAGATGTGCAAGTTTACCAAAGTTTTTTAAAGTGGTATGTTGTATTACCTGTACAGGAGGAACCCTTGCCTTGAGCGCCATCTAGAGGCACTTAGGTGTTTCTCAGAAAACAGGATTATAGTACCTGTAATATTCAGTTTTTAAATGGTTTTTTACGATTTGAAATTGTGGGTGACCTAGAAATGAACAAAACATTATACTTCTAAAAATTATTTACTTTTAATTTACCTGAAGGATCAAATGCTTTTTAGTTCATGCGGTATCCTTAATATTTATTTAATATTTAATACTAAGAACAGGCAAACAGGGAGTGATAATTGCATGAAACTGACAGAAAACGTCTTTTTTATTTTCTTCCCGGGTGGATAATAATAGCCGATGCTATAATGATTCACCAGGGGGCGCTGTTGACCAGAAGATTTCTGCAAACACATGACGACCAACAGGCTAGACTGAAAGGTTTTCTTAAAACTGGGGGGAAAAAATAAAATAAAAACTTGTCCCCAAAACAAAAAACTACGATTAGAGAAAGTAAAAATAAACTATAAGAGATGGAAATTATCCCAAAGTTATGCTGTTAAGGAACACGATTGACTCCAACCATTAAACCATTAAGCATGTGTTTCTTTTTGTTGCATCTCATCATACCGGTAATTGTTTTTTTTCCTATTACGGAATTTTTAGGTAGCCTATATGATTTATTCACTTTTATAGAGTATTGTGTTGCAGGTTCTTGTAATATTTATCTTTTTATTTTAAAGCAATGCTAAAGCATCCACATGGGTTAAAGAGGGTCAGAAACAAATGTTTTTTGAATAAAACCAGGAGTTTTGGTCAGTTTGCTGCCTTAAAATGTAATGATTCAAGAAGAATGTCTTATAACTATTTATTTAGTAGCTCTTCTGAAATCCAATACTAAGTAATATAAGAAAGGTAAAGATAAAAGTATATAAAATATATTTGTAAAGTACATTTTAAAACAAAGGTTTTCATTTATTAGGAAATAAATAATTCCTCAGTGAAATACTTTTTTGTTGAACTATAGCATTTTAAACCGATTTTTTATTTTTTTTTTAGAATTTAAAAACTTTTTGCATTGAAAATACTGAGAAATAAATGTTTGATTTTTGTATAATAAGGCACATTTACTTTTAAGTAAAATACAATAATACTTTGGAAAGTATATAAAAAAGCTATTCAGTTTTTTGTAAAATAATGATAAAAATATGCAAGAAAATTAAAATATGCAAGGTTTTCTTATTGAACAATATACGTATACTGTCATCACTTTAAAAAATGTAGTTTAAATGCATTGATGAAATAAATATTTATTTATATTTTTAGCTCTGAAATTATACATTTTCGAGTGCAACATAATTAGATCAGCATGAATCTCCTAAAAATGCCAACACCTAACGTTGCCATTTTTAAACAGATGCTTTATTTCTATTGGTAGTTGATCAACAGGTGTTTTATTTAGTAACTGGGAGTTTTTGCATTAGAAAAAAAGAGAAATAAAGGTTTAATTTTTGTATAAAAAAGCATTTGAATTTAAAATATAAAACAGCAATACCTTTGATAATAGATTAAGCAGCAATGGAGCTGCTGCTTATTTTGTGTTTAGATTAAGTAGATTAATATATTAAGTAAAATGAACAGTTAAAAAATAAAGGAAAACTGAAATATGCATAGATTTATGATTGAAAAGTAAACTTATTCTTTATTTAAACTCATCACTTTTATTTAATAATCTTGGGATTTTTAAACGGAAGCTTTATTCTGAAGGGCACAGAATCAACAGGTGCTTTATTTTGTAACCGGAAGTGGTGCGTAGTAAATGCAGCTAGCTGGATAGCTGTGGAATGAAGCGTTCGGGACTGAGAAAGACTTCACCGCCGCTGCCTCCATCTGCTTCCCTCCCTTCGAACGGAGACTTGAATCGGACGAGCGGGAAGTTTGGGTCGGATTTAGAGGATTTACGGCGCCGCGGAGACTCTTGGCACTTGTTTGCGACGCGCTCGGGGCGGCTCAGAGTGTCTGTCCCCCAGCCCCCCCTCCCAGTGTCGGTTACTGCTGATCAACATGGTGGCCTGCTGCTGAGCAGCTCCATCAGCAGCTCGGTCCGTATTCGGCGCGAGGCACCGCTGACGGCTCGGTGTCCCGGGGCGGGTTTTTTATATCTGCTTGTTTGTTGGTTTCAGCGGGACAAACGGCGGTTTTTGTGGCCGTTCAGAGAGCGGGTTCTGTGAACTGTGGATAATTGGAGTTAAACTGAACAAAGTTCCCAAGAGACCGCGTGAAAGTTTCCCCAACAAGTTTGGAAAAACTGGAAAATCCTTCTTTTTCTTTTCCTCCTTTAACACGGATGCTGATAATTTGGCCAACAAGTGCAGCCGCCTGCTTGGATCAGACCCATCCCCTCAAATCCTCATTTCTGAGGTTCTCTTCCTGAACAATCTTTGGATTATTATTCTGGATTATGGCCTAATCCAACCCGCAGCAGGCTTGCTGATTTGTGGAGAAAATA